ATATATATATACACATACATACACATACTATACACACAAATATACATACACAAGAAATTTCATCCACTTTAAAAAAAAAGTAGTATACTTTCTGTATTACCAACAGATAGCTAGACAGGTATGTGAAACTTGTGCCTCTTAAGCAAAACATTGACATTGGTTTTATTTATTTTTATACTTCTGTATCTTTGTTACATATTAAATACAGCCGGTGTGTGTGATCTATACAGTTGTTGTGCAAGGTCTCTAAGAAGTCTCATGATAGCAGAACTGGTCAGAATTTTCAGTGATCAGGTCTATTTTTTTTCCCCATTTTAACACTGACAGTCAGGTTGTCTGAAATGAACTCATACTGACATGTCAAAAGAGTTTTCATCTATTTGTCTTTGTGGAGGATCTTAAAGAAGTTTTTTTTTCTTTTTTTTTTTTTTTCTTTTTTCCATATTATACATTGATACAGTACAATGCCAGGTGAAAAAAGAGCCTTAATTAAGCATGCATCACCCATACCCCTGTATGTGACCCCACAGATGGGGTCAGTTGCGTAAGGCACCATTATGAAGGTCAACAGTGCATTAACAGCTAGAAAACCAGAAATTAGTCCTCAAGGCATAAATAAGAGAGACCTAGTTGCATGAGCAAACGGTTTCTAAGCTTAGTGGTTTCATCTCCCCGACTGAGAAAGGAATTTTAAGTTCTTAGCCTAATGTCACATTAGACCAGCAATTTTCAGCCCCAAGCTTTTAGACTTTCAACACGTGTCCAATTTCTTCCAAGGGCATCTCAAGATTCTCCAAAAAGTGAATTTAAATTCTGAATCCTTTAGAAATAACCCTACACTGCACAATAGCATTCTGGACTGGGAGAGCGCTAGAAAACAGAAGACGGGGAAAGTCGTGTCTTGCCAGGCCTCGATGGCTATGGGATCGTTCGTTGTATCAGACAAATTGAATCTTACAACTGCTTATTAATCGGAATCACGATTGGAGTCCAGATTTAAAAATGGAAAAGCATACGGTTCCCCAGACCATGCATGACTTTTGTATTATAAGGGAAAATTACCACTGTGTAATATTTGTAAATACAGCTTATACAATGGGTTACAAATGAGCTCCGTGGTAGCCAGTAAAACAAGCTACTTGACACATTGCACGTTTTATAGCTGCACCAGACACCAAAAGGTCCTTTCACACAGGAGACAGGGACGGGGCTCCCCCTCCCTTACCACTTGCCACTCTGGGGTCCTGAGCTCCCCTTCCCACCCTCCTTTTTTTGTTGTTTTGTTTTTGTTTTATTTATTTTTTTGTTATTTTTTTTTTTTTAACTTTTTTTTCTAAGGTGCAGATACCGCTCAGGAAATGACTGGTGGTCATCTCATCTCTTTGTATACTCCTTACACACAAAACATTCAAACTGCTTTTTTTTTCTGTATCTTGCAGTTATTTGCTACCACAAGGGGGAAAAAAAAAGTCTGCCTCACCATACAGTCAGTAATAGATCCTCAACATACAGTCAGCCCACCCATTAACATTCTCAGTGCACATGCTCACGGCAGAGGGCTCCAGAGCCCCTCGGGTTAGGAACCAGTGGCGAGTCCAGGGCCACCCGAACACCATACACCATGGGTGCTACCCCGCTTCTGACACAACTTTTGTAGCCCTCAAAAGACCTTCCAAAGAGAGGCCCCTGGAGGCAACTGGGTAGGGAGCAGAACGGCATGCTTTGGTTGGAACACGCATCCCTTCTTCCACGGCCGCCTCTCAGCCTGGAAGCCTCTTTTAGCCTACAGAATTCACCCTTCTCCCTCAGAGATGCCTCTTCATGTGCAGGGCCAGGTGGTCAGACCTGGAGAAACACCTGCAAGGGCAAATCAGAAACAAAGAAGTTAGATTCCCCCCTGGCTTGGGTGACAGACCAAACACCATACTTCCCTGTCCAATTCCTTTGAGCTCTTGCCAACCTTTTAGGGACAAGGAATTCCAAGGGACAGGAATATAAATTCAAGAGGCCTCCAATCAACAGAGATGAAGTTCTGTGGAGTCTGAACTGAACTCCCCTCTAACCTTTCAAATTTGCAAACTGCTGGAGGCCCATCTTGAAAACACTGTTCACAGACACCTGGTTCCCTGCTGGCCAACAAGGCCCCTCCATGTGTCAGAGATGTTCTGAAAAAGCCCCAGGCTTAAAAGAAAAGTCAACAAATGACAGGAAACTGTTGGCCTTCTTTCCAAGGCCTATCATACACCTACTCTCCTCTGGTCATTTCTCATTCCCATGATTCCATGCTTCTCTTCTTGCAAAGCCCTCATGCACGTACCTGTCACAGTGAGAACATTTGAAAGGCTTGGCACCGGTGTGCTTTCGGAAGTGTCTGGTTAACTCATCACTTCTTGCAAAACGCCACTCACACCCTTCCCATGAGCATCTGTAAGGCTTTTCTCCTGGGAACAGAGCAGATGAAAAGGATGTCATGACTTCATGGACACACTGGGGAAGATTCAACACATACACAGCAGCAGGACGCAGCATTAGGGTCCCTGTGGTCTAAGACCCCACTCACTATATGCTTTCATTGAGGGCACAGTAATGGCAAGTTACAAGTCACAAGTATACTTTCCTTCCTGACCTAGTCTGAAGCCTCCAGCTATTGTTCCAGGGACCCAAGTTTGACAAAGGTCATGCAAAAAATCGAAGTTAACTCATAACAGTGACAGCTTCTCAGACTTATGACATACTTGCAGGGTGAGGTGTCAGGCCACAGGACCCACAGCCCTATGGAGGGTCTGAGATTTACAGCTTTCTCCATGGAAATGGCTCCCCTCCAGCACTACCTAGTTCCTTACTTGCTTCTCTTGGGATGTCTATAGTTTCCTCCGGGACCATCCACATTTCTACCAAACTGAAGTCTTGAGTTTCTGAGAACCCTCATTTGAAGGCTTTAACATCACTTTCTAAGTGGCCGTCAACCAAATCAGCGCACATCATTCCCTGGTCAAATTATAAATGTGCATGCAATAAAATGCTGAGAATTTTTTTTTTAAATGCCAAAGTCAGTCTAGGTCACATGCTGCCTGGTTTGGGGGACACCTATATCCTCTCCCATCTCTGTCATGGTGTGATTTCGAGACTCCAACTTTATCTCTCAGAACTTGACTGTCATATTGTAGGATAAGAATTTGCAACAGTGGGTCTTTCTGAGCTCAAAGTCTGCTGTGATTCTCTCTCACTTAGCCCTTAAGTGCTTATGGTATTTTTGATCTGAGCTTTCATCTCAGTAATGGCATTTCATTAGGGAACCCCTGTTCTAAACGGCTATGTGACACAGAGTCTACCCAATAGATACCCTCAGACTAAGACTGCTGCTGACAGAGCCTATGGCTCACACTCAGGTGTCCATAAAACCAGTGTCAACACTAGCAAATTCCACATGGCCCAAGGACCCTCTGTCCTCACCCTCGACTTACATGACAAAAAAAGAGGAACAGCCCAACACAGCACGATGCATGTGCAGTGGGGAAGTGAGCACCAAGTAGGTAGAGGTTTGAAGAATAGGATTTAGTCTCTTGTTTAATCTGAAAGCAGGAATCAGCCATCTAATTCAAATGTCCAGTCTTTTAAAACTCTACTCTCAACTCAAAAAGACCCAATTCCTTGGTGACATGAATTTAGGAAGTGAGGATTTCTTTTCTCACGACCACATCCTGTGGAGCCCTGGTTCCCCCCCAGGGCTGGTACAATTCACCAGTGGCGGACCTCCCAGGTACCATGAGGGGACTGACCTGTGTGAGTACGTTGGTGTGCTTTCAAGTGAGAACTTTTGGTGTAAACTTTCCTGCAGCCGTTAAAGTGGCATCTATGCACCCTCCTTCTACCGTCTGGAGAGCCATCTCCACCACACTTGTCACCAGGCTTCCCCGAAGTCCCACTGCGCACCTTCCCGGGTGAAGGCAGGTCTCCTGGCCCACAGCCCCACAGTTGAGAAGATTCCCTGCTCAGTTCTGGAGAAGAAGGAGGTGTAGAAGTGACGGAGGAGCTCAGAGTTCCTGAATTGACTAAGACTTCGCCAATGGGATCAGAGGTAAACTTGGTGGTGGGTGAAAGTTCCTCAGAACTGTCCGAAGACTCACTACTAACATCAGAGTTCAGACTGTTGGTCTCTAAGTTATAACTAAAGTTGGGGCTGTTCAGAGGGTCTTCTGGGGGACTGCAAGAAATCTTCAGTTCTGATTCTTCCTTCTTCTCTCGTGCTAGAATGATTTTGGTCCACAGATCTTCCTGGCTGTCAAATTTTATTTCAGAGGCTGACACATAGCAGGGCTCGCTCTGGAGGTAGCGTTCCAACTCCAGGCAGGTCTGTGCAAAATGAACCACAAGAAGGCACGTGATTGTTATGACTTACTGAGAGTGGAACTGAAAACACATTTCAAAAAAAAAAAAAATCATGCAACAACAAAGGACAGATAAATTGTTTCTGTGTCACGCATTATGGGGCACAAAGTCTTTTGAAATGGGAATCTACATCCTTAGGAAAGTTAGAGGAAAGCTGTTTCTAGGAATGGGAAGAATTCAGAAAGTGAAGCAGAGGTGAGACCTCTTGGTTTCTCCCGTTGGGCCAATGGCCATAATGAGTGATGATCACTAAGCCTGTTTTGTTGTTATAGTTACAAGTGTTGACATTTCTAATGAGGTTCCTGTAAGCCACACAAAGAAAATCAGTCTTATACACATCACATCACCCCCACCCAACAGGTTTAACCAGATCCTCTGACAGACTCCAGGACCATGTGCAGCAAAGAATGCCCCAGCTATCCAGGGCTCACACAGGCCACAAGCATTCACACAAGACAGAAAGACTGCACAGCACACAGTATGGTCTGACAGACCCCCTTGGGGATACAGCTGACAACACAGGGCCCGCCGTAGTCAGAGAGCAGACAGCACATAGCCGTCTGTTTTGGGGAACGTCAACAGAGTTGCAGAGAAACCTCCCATTTCCTGTGTAGCTGAGACCTAGGATATTTTTTTTAAATGCCATTCCCCAAGTGCAGGGCTGTGGACGCCACCAAACTTTAATGACCTACACAGTGGTCAGAGGGAAACAAGACGCTTCAACAACAGAGTGGAAGAATCCTTCCAGAATGGTCATCTGCTGTTGGAGAGGATGGAGGGGGGAAATTACTCCCCAGCCCTTCTGGGAGTCCCACAATGAACAAGAACTTTATCTCCTGGCCGAGAGTACAACAGTATGAGTCATCACTCTTATTTCTTTCGCGCAATGCCAAAGGAGACTTCCTTTTGAAATTCTGACCAGCAGCCACATTAAGGACCCAGCTCAAATGAACATGCAGTGTGTCATGGACAGGGGGTACCCCTTCCCCAGCCCCGCAACCAACCTGTCAAGGAGCTACACAACTGCCGAGATCAGCTTCCCCTCTCCCCACCATTTCAAACTTTCTAGCCACTGGAAAAGAAAAATGGTAGGAAACATTTTAGGATTAAATTTTGTCTGCCCTGATTTTTCACTAGGTTTGCCTACATGCCCATATAAGGTTGTCAGATCCACTGACTGTTCTGTTCTATGGAGATTGAAATTTCAACACCAAACGACCACAAATCGTTGTTATCAGAGTACAGACCATCTTGAGCACAGGTTACTAGCAAAAGGGCTGGTGCTTACTCAACCATGTGCCTTCTGTCATGACACCACATACCTGCCCTACCCCCTCCCCGTGTAGACTTCACATAGTAAGCAAAGGGAGGGTGTGGGCGGTTATTTTCTCTTGCCCCCTAAAAATTCAGTGTCTGTTACAGTGCATTCTATGGTGTTCTGAAGAAAGGGAGAGACACGTTTTATGGACGTTCCAAAGGAAAAGGTAAGCGCGTTTATGGAGATCTTAAACTTCAACTGGCCAATTTAAAAATCTCCATTATGCTGCGGGGCAGTGAGGACCTGAAGGAAGCTCTCTGGGAGTTTAAAAGGCTCTGAAGGGGACCAGGAGCCAAGTCTGGCTTGTTGCCCAAATCCCAAATGCCTAGAGGAAACTACTTAGATCAATTTCAATCACGTCCCAGGGAGCAGCTTCTTAGAGGGGGAAAGACGGGGAGGGAGAGGAAGGCAGGAAAGGATGAACAATTAAGCCTGCCTGTGAAGGCTGCGGCTACACTTTAAGCTTTTCTCGTCTTAAAAGCCTGTGAACCTTTGAAACCCACAGACTATATCTCATCTGCTAACTCACTTGGAGACAAAAAAACAAACAGCCCAGCAGGGCGGAGAGACAACCAGCAAACCCCTCTCCTCTAAGATTTTAAAGACAATGGGACAACTGTTGGAGAGTCTCTCGCCACTCTGGGAGCCCTAGGAATTAGAATGAGAGGAAGAAGAAAAAAAACCAAAAAAAAAAAAAAAAAAAAAAACACCAAAAAAAAAAAAAAAAAAAAAAAAAAAAAAAAAAACCCACAAAAACAAAACAATAAAAACCCAACTTAGTTTCATAAATTTCTGATGCCCCACATTCTGGTTCCACTAAAATGAAGGAAATCGAGGTTCTTCTTCCCCCAAAGACCAGAAGCAACTAGGTAGGACTCATTGTCATATGACTGACAAGTCACCAGGGTGCAAACAACCGCCCCCCCACCCCCGCCGGCCGTCAACCAGAGAAGCAGGTAAGAAAAATCAGGCGAATGTTAAGAAAACATCCAGAAGGAAAAAGAAACAGAAAACGGCCTTGAGTTCAAACGGAGCTGCTGTACGTTTCGCTGGGAAAATACTAGGCTTGAAAGAAAAATTGGATGGGCAAACATCAAAACAAAAACAAAATCCTTCAGGAAAAAAAACAACAACAAAAAAACATCCCTTGGCAGTCAGGGCAAGTTCGTTCATATGACAAAGTCCAGCTGTGGAGTTTGGACCTCGTACAAGCCCCGAACTTGTGCCAACGGCTGCCTGGATCAGGCAGAGGAATCCGGGGTTCCCCCTCGGGTGGATCGGAAAAAAAAAAAAAAAAAAAAAAAAAAAAAAAAAAAAACCAAACCACTCTCAGCTCTACACAAATGACAACTCCACTCCTCGCTGCGGAAGGCCGGCTTCCCAGTGCCTTCATCACCATCCCAGGCATCTTAAGATCATTATTTTAATTCTTTAAAAAATTAAGCAAACAATAATCATCATTTAAAAAAATAAATAATAAAAAAAAAAAGAATGCACTTCCAAGCACACACCATCTTGCCGGCGCCTTGGCGCAACTCCCTCCTCGGCGCACCGGGCACGTGAAAAACAATCCGTATTTACCTGTTGCCAATATTCCTCCAAGGACGGCAGAGCCGAGAAGTAGCCCGTTTCGTGCACGATCTGGAGTTCCTGGAAGATGCTACACATTGGAAGCACATCCATGTCGGGTTGGAAAAAAAAAGACAGTCCGGGAAAACAGGGAGGAGAGCGATCTGGAGTCGGAGCCGAAACTGTCCCCGGGCGCGCAGGTGAAAGTTTCATGCAAACTCCGGGGCTCTGCAATCCGACGCCGGGTCCGGACCCTCCCGCAGCCCGCAGCACGGAGCCCACACAATATTTGCAAACAGCGGACTGACTGCAAACGTAACCCCTGCAAAACTTCCCTATTCAAAGCTCCGCTGCCAGCCTCCCCCCTCCTCCCCCGCCTGGCTCCCCCCACTCCTCCTCCCCCCACGTGACCAGCTCCGAGCCCCGCCCCGCGGGCCACCCAATCCCGCCGTGCCAGTCCCGGGGGCTGCGCGACGATGATGTCAGCTGCGACCAATCAGCGCTGCCGACACACAGCGGCCCCGCCTGGCGTGACCGAGCCTCTCCATCACGGCCTTTCCCATTGGTGCAATTCGAACTCGGCCCCCTCTGATTGGAAGGACGCGGCGCAGGCTATTTTTAGCAGGGTATATAAGGCGAGGGCCATCGCGCAGCGCTGGAGTCGGCGCTGGGAGGTGCGCGGTTGAGCGCGGTAGTTCTGTGGCCGGAGCTGGGGGAGCCGGGCCGAGAGAGGCCGGCCCCTGTCCCCGCCGCCCGGCCCCTGTTCCCGCCGCCGGGTCGGGTTCCCCCTTCTGCTCCCGTCACCGCGGGACCTTCCGGCGGGCGAGCCCCAGTTCCAGCCAAGCACCTGCGGGGTTCCCTCAATGCTCAGAGCCCGGTGCTCCGTGCCCCTCTTCCCGGATCCATCCTCGGGCCCCCGAGCTCCTCCTTGTCCCGTGTCCCTCCATCCTCAGGGCTGCCCAGGTGACCCCGGTGGGGATGCAGGCTCGCACCCCGCCCCCCCGTGTGGTGATGGTCTCCTAGGGCCGTACAACAGGGGAACTTGGTGATGGGCTGTCAGAATCCCAAGTCCTCCATTCCCCCAACTGGTACTCAAGCAGAGGAGAACCCACAGGAGCACCCCAGAAGCTTGGCGCCTGACTTGTGGGTCAGATAACACTCACATTCTGTGCAATAAATTTTAGATGCCACCCGGAACAACCCAGTTGTGTTTTAGCAATCAGATGACCTGGGGCCACCTGAAGTTTTAAGAACCTGACGTTTGCCACTGAAAATGCCCTTTGACTGGCACGACTCGCATTCTAAAAAAATTGGGAGTCTGCTGCTAATAGGATAGAAATCTGTTTATTTTGTAGCAGGTAATCTCCAAGACGCCTCACCAGGACTAGCAGGCTTTCCCACGAATATGTAAACAATTTAAATTAGGCTGAAGCTGACCTTCAATTTTTTTCATATAAATTTTCTCCTAAAATACACTATATAATCATTTAAAATAACAGCATGAAGAATGGGCCACTGAAAGTGCAAAATAAACAATTCCGACAACTTCAAAAATAGTATTTAGTGAGGATTATCTTTTAAAAGTTTTAAATATGTGAAACAATTTTAGAGAACTTATTAAATTAATATTTAATTTCAGAAGGCTAGATGAATGTGCCAGGCCCATAATATAGGTGAGTAAGATTCTTAGGTAGGGATCTTTGTGAGTAGAAAGCAATGAAAAGTTATTATTTTATTGCACCTGTTGTTTGTAATCCGTGAAGGTGACCATTGGCCTTCCTTCATCCTAATAACCAGAGTGACACTAGCAGGCCTGTTTCTCAGAGGGTCATGTGCTTGGATTCTGCTCTCAGAAAGGGAGTGGAAGTGGATTTAAGATGCACATTCATGTGTTCATCCAACCTCCCAGTGAAGGGCTTATACCAGGCTAACTTTGTAATTAGCAGCAAGCTTTGCACCTTTGTCCTGGAATCACCAAAGGAAACAAGAATCAAATCAAATGTATGAATGAAAGCCAGCGATCTAGAACACATGGGAAGAAGGTTAGGTGAGAGACCTGAAATGTTAACTAAGTGAAGAAAGCCTTAATGGCCTTAGAAAAGCCTAGCCATAATGAAGATATTGTTGACTTTCCTTTTTCGACAAAGAATTAGTCATTGTTTTAATAAGCTTCCTTATATTCCTATAGAATGTAAAATTGTACCCTTGTCTCTTACAAGCACTGCCCTGTAGGTACATTGGCATAGTTTATTAGTAAAGAGTGAATTTAATTGGGCATAATACAGATATAATCCAAACTGACTTTCAGAAAAATTAATTAGTGTAAAAGCAAAGTAGATGCATAGACTGAATTCCAAATACAATAAACTCTGTGACTTCCTGCTACACCCATCAGGCATTCAGCATGCATTATTCACATCCTATGACTGGCCAGGTACGCATAAATTTACAAAATAGGCAAAAGTCCATGTCATAGTGTGTGTGTTGGTGGGGTGGGGGAGATGGAGCAGGGCTCTTCAGATAATTTGAAAGAAATTTCTACTACTATTTAACTCTTGAATGGGAAAATATCCTTAGCTTTGTATGTGAAAAAAGAAATACCCATGAGATCTGAGTAATACAAATGATTTTTTGATTTTCTAAAAGAGTAAGGGAGAATCACAGAATTCAGATGCATTAAGATAGGCAAGTATGGAATGCAAGAGAAACATGAATTTTGACCTCTAGCTATCCAGACTATAGGTCTGACTTTCCTTATAGTATTTAAAGAGAAGAAATTTAACCCAGCCAGGTTGAACAGCCCCTGAATCCCTGTTATTTCAGAGACTGAGCCAAGAGGGTTGCAAGTTCAAGGCCTGCCTGGGCCACACAGTGAACATAAGGCTAGCCTGGAAAACTTAGTGAGACTCTCTCTCAAAATCTTAAAGGGAGGAAAAGACAAGAAAAATGATTAGGGTTCTAGCCTAATCTTGCCTTCACAGGGACCTGGCTTTTCAATTCCCAGCATCACTATCGCGTCAGAGGCTCTTGGCTGTGGCTGTCTGTGTTTACTATGGAGTCCTCAGTGTCTGGGTTTATTTGCATTTCTTTCCTTCGTTTCTGTCTGTGCTCACATTTCCTAATCGCTGTGTATCTACTTGTGGCTGGCGGCAGGCTGGAAGGCTAGGGGAGAACAGGCTCTAGGAGCGTGGAGGTCTGTCCTTAGATTTGATTTTAGGTCAGTTCTACTCTGGACTTTCCGGCTGGGGCTTCCTGAGCCTTTGGCCTCTTCCCTCTCAATAGCCAATGTTCCTTGTGTGTACTGGAGGGTTGGTGGTAGAGGAGCGTTCTTAGCTTCCAGAATGTGGATTTAAGGGTCTCCCGCCTCCTACCAGCACTCAGGGGCCTTTTGCTTCCTTAGAGAGAAGGTTCTGGAAATGTGAGTGGAAGTCTTTGCAATCTACCACCCTGCCTACCCACTGTCTCATGAGGATGTCTGCGGAGAAGAGCTAAAATATGAGAAGAGATAATTTATTAAAATCCCTAGTCTGTGGCAAATAGTAATTAGTCAATAAGCTGAAGGCAATATTCACTTACTGGACAATTCTCTGTTTTGAAGTTTGCTCTTGATTCTTGTAATAGATGACACAGGCAGTGAAATGAAATCAACTCTGCAGGTCACACAGCAAATGAGAGGCAAATTTGGACCCAGGGCTATGGGTATGCAACCCTGGCAGGAACATCAGCCCGTACCAGCTGAAGAGTCCCTCTCTCCCCACTCCATGCGAGTCTCCCAGGCCTGGAAAGTAGTGAAGTAATTGAGGATGATCCTCTTTTTTCCCCCGCCCTCAACTACATAGCTTTCTGTCAAATGGGCTGCCTCTACCACAGTCTTCAAAGAGTCAGAATCCAGTTTGTGTGAGGCACATTCTGGGATGGGGCACGACAGGCCTCCTGGACTTGCTGGGCTATGTCCTCACACACCCACTTTTGTCCAGGCCACATTCTTTTATTCCTCAGACTTCTCTGTGCTGCATTTTTTTGGTGAGGGGAGGGAATGGAGGGATTAAAATGAAATTTATAATTTTTTACTGTTTTTCTTAATTTTTAAAAAAATTTTATTTATTTATTTTATGTGTGTATTGCCTGCTCGTAGGTAAATGCACCTGTGTCTTGCAATGTCCATGGAGGTCAGAAGAGCCTGTCGGATCCCCTGGGACTGGAGTTACAGACAGTTGTTAGCTACCATGTGGGTGTTGGGATTCGAACCCGGGTCTTCTGCAAGAACAACCAGTGTTCCTAACCGCTGAGCCATCTCTCCAGCTCCGAAATTTGTAATTTAAACCTAACTCTCAACTTAAAGATCAGTGAGTGATACTTGGGTTTTGAGTGCTTTTGATTTTCCTGTTCTTCTAGACACTTCAAAAGGGGTCATAAAAGGAGTCTAACAAATCTGTTCCAAAGATAATTGCAATAATGCCTCCTAATGATGTTGACAGAGAATATTCCCACTATTGGTCAAGAAGTCAATTTTGTTTGTTTTCAGTGCCTTTAGCAATATATCACCTCTCCCACAGAGAATTAATTAACATTTTATTTCATCTGTTTCCTTGAGTTGTATAAACTATTTTGTAAAAAGTACTTTGGAGTCATTGTATGATAGGTGCTTGGAGATAAAAATGTCCATCTCAACTGCAGACAGAAAGCATTAGTTGTCTTTTCTCTGTGTATTTTTTTTTTCCTGGAAGAATATGAATTTTTCATTGAAAATGAAAAAAAATCAGTTACTACATGATATGTCAGGTCAGATTTCAGTCTTTTAAATAAGTGTTAGTGCTGAGATATTACTAATGAAAGAAAGTGTGTCACTGGTAGCTCTCAGTAGATGTCTAACTCAATTTTTTAACATGTGGAAGGTGGTATGGACAATGGCTGCAGTGGCCGGTGTGTTGCAGGGGAGTATGCGTGTGTGTGTGTGTGTGTGTGTGTGTGTGTATGTGTATATACATATACACACATATATACATATACATATACATATATACATACACACATATGTATATATATACATACATGTGCATATATATAGATATGTATATCTATATATATCTGATCTTGACTCTAGCAGCACTCTTTATAAAAACAATAGTAAGATGCTATCTGGAGACAGGGGACTCTGGCTGTGGCTGCCTGTGTTTCCTAGGGAGTCTTGGTTTGTCTGAATCTGTTCTCCAGTGTTTCTGTCTGTGCCCACATTTTTCAGCCTCTCTACACCTATTCTGACCAGAAACGGGGGATTGCAGAGTGCACAGCAGGCTCCTAGGGACAGGAGAGTATGTCCTTAGATCTGATTTTAAGTCAAATCTGTGTATG